CATTCATTATTCTTGAGGGTTGATAAGAAAGACTGCAAGAACATGCAATAGTCGCATTAGCACACAGAGGCAGTCCTGTCTGTGGATGATACTCACCCCCTCCGCCGCCCTCGCCAGGGTGAACGGCGTCGTACCTTCACGCTGCCGACCAAGTTGAGAAGTCTAACGATGGCAAATACGGGTAGTGACGGGTGAGTGCTTGGGGTTTAGGGGTTTAGGGTTTACCAACAGGTTGTATGGATCCATCAAGCGATTTCAGATGTAGGGCCCTGAACCCTGGACCCCAAAGAAGGGCACTTCTCGAACATTGCTCCGTGCTTGATCCAGGCCTGCCAGGGGGCTACGGCGGTTTTTGGAATCGGGCGTTGAAAGCTTTAGGGTTTTCAATGTGGTGTGCGGCTTGAATGAAATTTAGGGGTCTAGCCGGATTAGGGTTCTGAAGGTTGCAGTTGCGACGCTAAACGTCGTGCTCAAGCCGCATTCCAGTTCCAGGATGAGCGAGACAGTTTTCGGAAATTTGTTAAGCCATACAAAGCGAAGACTGTCAGAAGAACAAGCCTTCATCCTATTCCTCTCTGCACGCTGCTTGTTTCTACGGTTACTGGTTGCCGACACCGAAGTCCAAGCTCGCTGGATGGAGGCGAAGCTCACGCTGGAACGAGAGCGTCCAACATATGTACATATCAAGTAGAGGCCAGAAAGTTGGAACATCTTGCTGGTCACGCCCCTAAAGCAAAGACACGGAAATCCTGGCATTAGCCATCCATCCTTAACACATGTTCCAACTTCCAAGGGTTCATGGTATATGTATGCCATACTGTATATGTATAGCCTCGTAGCAATTCCGAAGCCAGCGGCTGGCCAAGTCTTCGGCCAATTCAGCGCTGCCTGGAAAGGGCTTCGCGCGCAACCAAGCATTGATGGACAGACTCCCTAGGAACACACATGGATTCTGTGTGATACATGCATGGAGACTCCTGGACACATGGATACTAGCATGTAGACATGCGTGCAAGCAAGATAAGCACAAGTCGTGCTACATGGTAGTACATGAGCGGTACGAGGGACACTTTTGGCTAATTACATGTCTCAGAGGTCGATGACCGATACTGCATGCGACTTGCCAGTTGCTCTGGCCAGCAAGTTCTGCATAATCCTACCTAAACTGTGGGCAATGCAGCATGCAGCGGGCGAGATCAGGAATTTCCTCCTCAGCCCAAACCATGTTTAAGGGCTTCAGTTCGGCCGCCCTGGACTTCGTGATGGACTCCTACAGTAATGTATTGGTAGGGGCCTTAAGAATTATAATAGGATTTTGGGGCCCATTATACTGTGATTATAATAAGGAGCCCCCCAAAATAGTATATGTAGTTACTAAGGCCCCTATATTACTCCTTCAGCAGCATGTGCCTTTAGCTTCTGAGCCCATGGTCTTGCTCAGCGTCTCGAGGCCCTCAATGAGCATGAGCTGCAGCGGCGCCCAGGCATTCCTCGAAGTTTTAGGGTTTAGGGTTTAGGGTTTAGGTGCGGTTGTAAATGGCAGGTGGGTCTACCGTGCGCTGTTGCCTGCACATCCGTGGCCCCAAGCAATCGCTTGATCATATGTGCGTGGGCCCACTGTAACTTTCCATGCATGGGTTTGTCGGTGTGCATGATGTTCTAAACCCTAAACCCTTAACCCCTCGTGCGTTTCTGTGTTGGCCCAGGCTCGGTGCGTCCCACTGCTCTCCGGAATTCAGGGTGGTGGTTGCAGCACCGCCAGCCTCACGAGCTAGGCTCTGCCTTCGGGATACTTGGAGCACTAATGTAATTAGGGGCCATAATTAGCATGGGGTTTTTGGGGTATAGTATACTAAAAAAAAGTATACCTAATTGCTTAATTAAGGCCCCATATTACACTTCATGCTGAAGAATTTAGGTTTAGGTGGTTACAGTTGATGAGGTTTTCGGGCGAAATTTTGCAAACCAAGAGAAGGTCCATAGGGTTTAGGGCTTTAGGGTTTAGGGCTTTAGGGTTTTAGGGTTTAGGGTTTTAGGGTTTAGGGTTCAGGGTTGTAGGTTTTAGGGTTTAGGGGTTACGACTCTGCACAAGGCTTTCCGCTCTGAGTTTTCGCGCTACGTTTGACGTAGTTGAGCATCAAGGCTCGTAAAGCTGAACATCTGGGAAAGTCAGTACATGCAACGGCCTGCAAGAGACCGCTGCCACGGAGCGACGCCAGAAGCGCTTCCACGCGTCGTCCAGTGAGGCCTTGCGCCCAATTCGGGTGAGAGGTTGTTCGATCACAGCAAGTGTCCTGTGAAACGAAGCCCTGATCCAGAAAGATGTTAAACCCTAAACCCCAAACCTTAAACCCTAAACCCTCAACCTTAAACTCTAAACCTTAAACCGTAAACCCTAAACCTTGGTTCAGCAGCATAGCATCGATAGCACCATCAGAATGCCGTCATCATCATCATCATCATCGTCATCGTCATCATCATCTTCCCGGCTCTCGGGCATTGGCAAA